CCTTCCTGCCCCTCGATTACCTGGAGGTGGGGTGCAGGACACCCCCGCTTTGAGGGTTAGGGGCTCCCTTTGACCCCTCGGGGGCCCATCAGGGGTTTTGGAGGGTCCCATTTGACCCCTCAGGGTCCTACAATGGGCGTTGGGGGGGGGTCCTATTTGATCACTCAGGGTCTTACAAAGGGTTTTGGGGGGGTCCATTGAACCCTATGGGCCTCCCGTCCACCCCTGATGTTTTGGGGTCCCCATTGAACCCCTTGTCCACTCCTGATGTTTTGGGGTTCTCTATTGAACCCTATGGGCCTCATATTCACCCCTGCTGTTTTGGGGCTCCCCATTGAACCCCATGGGCCTTGTGTCCACTCCTGATGTTTTGGGGATCCCCATTGAACCCCTTGTACCTTTTGTCCACCTCTTGGGTTTTGGGGTTCCCCATTGAACCCATGGGTGTCCCCTTGAACCCATGTTCTTCACATCCACCCCTTGGGTTTTGGGGTGTCCCCTTGAACCCATGTTCTTCACATCCACCTCTTGGGTGTTGGGGTGTCCCCTTGAACCCATGTTCTTCACATCCACCCCTTGGGTTTTGGGGTTCCCCATTGAACCCATGTTCTTCACAGCCACCCCTTGGGTTTTGGGGTGTCCCATTGAACCCATGTTCTTCACATCCACCTCTTGGGTGTTGGGGTGTCCCCTTGAACCCTGCCATTTTGGGGGTCCTATTAAACCCCTTGTACCTCTCATCCACCCCTTGAGTTTTGGGGTTCCCCATTGAACCCCATGGGCCTCATCCATCCTTGATGTTTTGGGGTGTCCCATTGAACCCCATAGCCTTCACATCCACCCCTTGGGTTTTGGGGTGTCCCCTTGAACCCATGTTCTTCACATCCACCCCTTGGGTTTTGGGGTTCCCCATTGAACCCATGTTCTTCACAGCCACCCCTTGGGTTTTGGGGTGTCCCATTGAACCCATGTTCTTCACATCCACCCCTTGGGTTTTGGGGTTCCCCATTGAACCCATGTTCTTCACAGCCACCCCTTGGGTTTTGGGGTGTCCCATTGAACCCATGTTCTTCACATCCACCCCTTGGGTTTTGGGGTTCCCCATTGAACCCATGTTCTTCACAGCCACCCCTTGGGTTTTGGGGTGTCCCATTGAACCCATGTTCTTCACATCCACCCCTTGGGTTTTGGGGTTCCCCATTGAACCCATGTTCTTCACAGCCACCCCTTGGGTTTTGGGGTGTCCCATTGAACCCATGTTCTTCACATCCACCCCTTGGGTTTTGGGGTGTCCCCACTGAACCCATGTTCCCCCATCTGATGCCTCCCCCCCAGGTGAAGCCCACAGACGAGAAGCTGCGGGAGCTGAAGGGGGCCAAGCTGGTGATCGACGTGATCCGCTACGAGCCCCCCCACATCAAGAAGGCCCTTCAATACGCCTGCGGCAACGCGCTCGTGTGCGACAACGTGGAGGACGCCCGGCGCAT